AACTGCCCAGAATTATACATCGGAGAAACAGGAAGAAAATTGGAAACGAGATTGACAGAACACAATAAAAATCCGTCCCATGTTTTTCACCATTGCAACTCCAAAAACCATAGTATATCTATTAAAAACACAGTCATTTTAAACAAAGAACCCAACATAAACAAACGAAAAATCAAGGAATCTATCTTAATTTAACAAAACAACCCTACTCTAAGCCAATACCCCGGGGTGCCAAGATACCTCATCTAAGTTTTGCAACAGTATCCGGTCATGTGACCTCTTTGTTCAATACTGTATATATATCCGTGTAAATTACTTGTACCTGATGATGACAAAACCACGTCGAAACGTTGTGCATTTGCTGTTATGTTAAACTTATATTAAAGTTTTTCTTCATTACCCATTCAAGCCGTCTCCAACCATTATTAAACACAGTTTGTCTGAACAGAACGTCACAGTACAAAAACATGAGCCTGGCACTAACAGAACAAAAAATCAGAGAAGCTTTATTATTAAAATCAAACAATCCCACAATTAACAAATACCCAGGTACATCTATCTATATATATATAGAGAGAGAGAGCTTTAACCGTTAATTCCCCACACATTACTAAGATTATGCAAGTATTTTGCATAAAGTATTCCATACTTTTTTATATTTATTCATCTTTGGATTGTTTTGTTTAGCCATAAATAAACAATCTGTAAACTCACGCGAATTGATATTTACACGAATAAGTAACTACTATCAATTCTAGAATTTAAATACATTGTTATATTTAAATAATAAAAGTAAAACGTTCTTTTCACCACAAAAACTTGTCTAGTTGACAATGATCGCACCATTGATCGAAACGTCATATCTGTTCTAAAACCTAATCTTACTTACTGTAAAAGCTGTAAGTTATAATAAAATATACTTGATCGGTAACTGAGTAAGTAAACTCAAAACGAAACTAGTAATAGTTCACACTACAGCAGCAAATGAGTTTTGTTCGTACAATTTTAAGTTTTGTGTCTAACGTCCTACTTTCCTATCATCTCAGTTTTACGTCATTACGTATATAGGCCTAACCTGACTACTCAATACCAAGAAACATTTCAGATATTACTCCACAATTACAAGAAGCCACATAAAATTATAGTTTCATTTCCGTATTACGTATCTTATAAAAGCCAGCTAAGCCTAATGTTTCCATTTAACAACCTAAGCTTCACCGGATAAATCCGCCTATGTTATGGTGAGATACGAAAAAAGAAATTTATTTTATTACAAAAAAACCCAATGAAATTAAAGAATGTGTTGATAAGTTTAACCTTTCTAAAAAGTTGCAAAATATAAAAATTGACACCAATTTTTCAATAATTAAAGTGAACCTTCAGCCCATCCTAAAAATGAAAAGTATCCTTAGAAAAATTCAAATAAAACTTTTAAAACAAAATATAAAGGAAAAGCACAGAGAGCTGAAATTTCTCCGCAAAAATGAACTTAACCACCTTGCAAGTTTAACTACCACTGAAGATTAGAACTTACTTTCATCATTCATATATAAAATCACTTACTTTAAGGGCTTAACTATCAAACGAAAGCTAGAC